AGACTGTGGGTGGCAGCTTCAACTCTGCTCTGAGACTGACAGAGGTGCTCAATGCAGAAAGTGTCTCTCTACTACCGGGCAACTTTTTGCCTTTTCACTGATATCTAGGAAATATGTGTAATTATAGACTAGTAGAGTTTGAAAAACATCTTATGGGTTTTCCCAGCAATATGTGAGATGACTCTGTGAACTTCAAATCAGACAACCAAAATTAAATGTTATACAGCTGAAAAAGTACAAAGGGTTGGTTCATTTAGAATATAGTGTATAAAGTGTTTTTGAACAGCTTTATTTGTCCAGTCAGCCGGCCCATAGCTGAATTTTCTGTTTGTTATCATGAAGATTATGTGTTCATTTGCATAAGACTTGACCTGAAATGTGTTTGTGATTTGTTCTCTTTTTTTGTGTTAAATCTCTGTTGTTGTTTTTCTGAAGAACTCCATGGGATTCTCTTTTGTTTAATGCTTTAAAGTGGTTTGCGTAATGAAATTATTGTAAATTGCCCTCACACATAGATAGGTATACAGAGGGTGTAATGAGAGGGTGAAAAAATTATAATCATCATACCACCTCAATCACCTTCAGATTGCTCAGTGATTGTATAGTTTGAATATGGTCTTTATCTTTTTTTCTAGACCTGCATCAAAAATCATTTACTTACAGTTTACAGCTTTTATTTAGGATGTAAAAGATGCATAACTATGTGCTCACGATCTAATTCCTCCGGTCTAGTTTACTGAGGCACATATTTGAAGTATTTTGTCATGTAGAAACTATAATACATTTAGAAAATCACCAAAGGCAAATGTATGAACGTTCTTTAACATATACTTATCTCTGACTATGTGATCGCAGTCTCACTGCTAAACAAATTAAAACATTTTTCTATGATTATGTCTGATAACCATTCCACACCAGGTAGTATCAAGAAACGGGACATATGGCCACACAATGATATTACAGAGATCAACGAGACATACTGACATTAAAAGAGAAAAACTGAAACCTTAAAAAAAGAACCACCTCTGATATAATGTTGTACTTTTAAAGAAAAGTTTGCTTTTTTATTTATTTGGGCAGCAATGTTTGTCAATCACACATAATATACATAAAAAGAGTTATTAACAGTATTATATATACATACATACATTGAGTTAATATCCTTAACAATATCAGGCCCTTGCTCTTTCCCAGGAGGATCATCTTTACACCAAACTTTTCTTATAGCTTTACTTTTTGCTATTTATTTTACTTTTGTCTTGTGGAATCCCTTTAATGTTCCCCAGATACACAGCACTGTTGTTTAGAATAACATATCCCATAATGCCTTTTACGGTTGCATTTGATTTTTACCTCCCTGTTGGTCCAAAATCATGACGACCATTAGTGTTGCTCTAACAACAAAACATTATACATATATTTTAATCTTTCTTTTATCCTACTAAGGCTTGCACCTTGACTTATTCTTTATGCAAGAAAAAGAAGAAATGCAGTTGTGAGCAGCCCCAGAGCCTCTCTCTTTGATAAATAAACACTTCCTGGGCCTGAAACCTGGGTGTCTCGGCTGTTGTGCGACGGCTGAGTGCCAGAGCGGTTCCGTAGCTCTGCGTATAGCACATACAGAACCCCGGACAGACAGCCAGCCATGCATGCATGGATGAACGGATGGATGGATGGAGTCACTGGGGAGACATGAAATGGAGGAATGGAGATAGGGGGGAGGGAGTGGAGTAGCAGATGAAACAGAGAGAAAGGTGAAGGTGTTAGTAAGAAAATGAGAAATAAAAGGAAAAGTAGAGATAAAATGAAACAAGGGAGAGGATAAAGAGGGGAAGAGCTGGATGGAGGGAGGGGGACCATGTGGGACACAGGACATGGGAGAGAGGACTTGGGCGGTTTGTGTTTGGAGGCCGGGGCGGTGTGATGGCAGATATCTGCACAGCGCATGGTCATCTCAGATGGTTTATTTATCCAAGGCCTCCAGACCAGGCCTCGGACCTCCCTGAGTTTGTTAGGCTTGAAGGGGCCCCCTACCACACAACCCAATTCTTCACATTCCACATTAGCTCCCATTTCCAGCTGCCTGTTTCCCTCTACCACTAAACCCGACCCAACCCAGTCCAGGCAAACTATACCCAGTCCCAGCAAAGCGGAAAAACAGGCCGGCCAGTGCCACTCTAGAAATGTGAGCGGGTTATAGGAGTGTACGTCACCTCCATTAGGACAGATGGATGAGTAAGAATGTAGGTGTATCATTTAACGGCTGCAGAGAGATGTGGTGTGGAGTCCAGGTCAGATAGTGGATATACCCTGTTTTATCAAGATATAACGAGATCTGAGGAGATTGCTCCATACCAACAGCAATGCTGGACTCCAGTTTGATCTCTTTTAGACATTCAAAACTGCATCTTCAACTGAATCTGATGTAACCAATGATGTTACAATGTCAGTTTCTGCCCACATTTACTTATTTAGTAGGTAGGATCACTGAAGAAGATGAAGATCTGAAATAAAGGTTCAAATAGGATCATAATGGTAGAAGTGAGTCAAACTGATATCTGACACTAGGGGAGCTTTTTCAATCTTTTTCAGTCTACGCATTGTGTGACAGCCACCAGTGGTGACTTGTAGTCATCACTCTTAACTATGATTTCAATTTTAAAAAATCTTACTTCTGAAGTAAATGCACACAAAACCATTTAGAGGTAGGCTTGATAATTGTCTGTATTATAATAACTGTGATCATTTGTTGGAGAGGTATTCAGATCCTTCACTTAAATAAAAGTACCAATACTATAATAGTAAAAAGTAGAGTAGAGAAAAGTACAAAACTATTATGAGACAAACTTAAAGTATCAAGTGACCCCTGATATATATTATTAGATTTTATTATTTACCATGTTGGACGATGACTGCTGTTTAACTTTTTAATTATGGCAATCAAAAAATTTGCAATATGTAGGCTATGCTTTGTTCATGAACATACAGTCTTAATCTTTCTCCTGACAGCCACTTTCATACAAATGTCACACCTTAGCCTTATGCTATGTGTTTGGTAGTGTATATGCTAGTTTGATATGTGTTTAAATATGGCATACTAGACAAACATGTTATATAAATTATACTGTATATGGTGTACTAAACAACAATATCAAAAATGTTATTGATTTTTTTTATGTATAAAACACACACAAAGACACAGAGTACAGTATGTTTATATATAAAGTTAATTTTAAAAAAAATTGTATATTCTATTTTTCTTACATTGTTGGATTTTTTGACTGTTGTTGCAACAAAACAGGATTTTTGAAGACATGTCCACTTTGTTCTGACATTTTATAGAGTAAACAATTATTCAATTTAATGAAAAAATGATAATAAGATGACCCCAACATCAAATAAATTCATTTTAGAATTAATTTCATTAATTTTATTGAATGTAAATTGAATGTGATAGGGAAGCTGACTTTATTTGTTATTGTACAACTACATTATAGTATTTACAGATACATAGTTATCATTCTGTACTTCATTGTTATCACTCAAATAATAATTTATAGTAATTATTTTTTCTTTGGTAACTGTTTGTGCTGCAACCATAAGAACATGTGAATCCACAGTACCTCATAATGACGATGCACTACATCATACAGATGCTTCCCCGTGATTCTGATCTCCAGCCCCTACAGTAACCTTATACATCCACAATCTGTTTCTCATGTCCTTTGTCTTCATGTAAACGATGATGATGGACGTAACGGCTCAGCAGCAGGCTGTGACATTGAATTGAACCTGATGTCACGCATAGAATGAGCTTATAGCACCAACACCTTTATTCAAATTGCTTTACATCAGCCTCAGATTGTTTTACAGTTACCCAAAGGGCCTCAAATTAGCACCAGCCACCTGACAAATGTTGTACACGGCAGGACAGGTCTGTGTTTCGGCAGAGAATGAATGTGTAATCTGGTAAAGTGTTTGTTCTTCACCCCCATACTGTCATGAGTGGGGCCAATGGGGGCTAACATTAGCAAACCACCAAGACACCCCTAACCTCTTTTTTTTTTTTGAGTAAGAGATTAGAAAACAATCTTGTCTGAGAACCCTCTTTCTTTCTTTCTTTTTCACATGTTGTTCTTAGGTGAACTGCTTTCTGAACTCATGAAATCATGCATGACAAGAAATGGAAACTTTCCAAAAGTCTCCACAGAGATAAGGGTGTCACACTGAACCAGGCGGCTCCGAGGTGTTGATGAAAAAGATGCATGTGTGGAATAATTCCTACGCTCTTTTTAAGGCAATTTTTTTTACTGGGATTAGAGGTTCTGCTCGGGGTGTAAGAAAGCCTATCAACCTACTTTTAGAAGCTTTTGGCCACAAGAGTTGAGGTTACAGCTGTGAGTGCTAAAAACCTACATACACATACACATAATCTTCTCACAGCTGCCTATTACAAACTGCACTCACAGCAAAGACTCCAGAGGTTAAAAATGTCTTCTTCTTTTTTTAAGGTGCTCTGTAACAAATGTGAGGCTCCAAAACCTCATCAAACATGAGATGCCCTGAAGTGATATGAAAAGTGTTGAAAGATCTGCAATTCTCCCATACAAAAAAAAAAGCATGTTTACATTCTTGTCTAAAAAGCTGAATTAACTTTTTTTTTTTTCTGCCACTGATTGGCCCGTGCTGATGAAACAGAAAAAAAGCAGAAAATTGTATGCGTGCGTGCTTGCCGCTGTGATATCAATAGATGGCATGCGCGATTGCTTCTTACAAACTGGAGGGGCCCGGCCGCTGGGAATAATGTTCAGAGAGCAAGTGAGGCGGGCAGGCAGGCAGCAAGCTGTGTGCGTGAGCGTGCGCGCATGTGTGTGTGCGTGCGTGCGCGGCCGTGCAGAGTTTATTGAAAGAGTTCCTCTCTCCCTCCCTCCCCCTCTACCCCCCCTCCTCCTCCTCCCCCTCCTCCTCCTCCCCTCCCTCCTCCTCTCCCTCCAGCCCAGGCAGCGGCAGCCTGGGTGGTCCCCCTCTCTCTCCACTTTGGTGAGCTGTTGCTTAGCAGCTAATAATAGGCGATGTTTGCAAAGTAATTTGCCTCTTCCTTGACCAATGGGAGCCGGAGCACTTTTCCATCAAACCTCCCTTTTCAGGATTTGCCGAGAGGCGAACTTCTCCAAATGTTACCGCTACGGGATCGGAGTTAGACTTGACACGGACGGCTCAGACATAGGCTACTACTACTACTACTACTACTACTACTACTACTCCTCTCTGAGACGTCGTTTCATAAACCATCGGGACGAATGAAGACTGAAGGATCTATACGGATTTCGGCGCATAATGTTGGGATGGAGTTTCGAGACTTGTTTGGCTCCAAGGAAGACTAGAAACCCTTCCTCTAACTTGTCGCCGGCGGTGCTGGATGCGCTCCTCTTCTATGTTGGATTATTGTCGCTTTTTCTGAACTTGCACCGATTCCCTGTCGCTTTGCTCTGCGCCCTGTTTACCCTTTTTGGACTATGGCCTCGGATCGCGGGGTCCCAGGGCCCGGCGTCTATGGAGATTTACCCCCGAGTTATACGCGCTCCCAGCCGCCTGCGAACCCAGACCTACTCCGGAGACCCAGCTACTGCCACGCTGCTTTCGCACTTAAACAGATCTCAAAGGTGATACAGCGCTCACAGTTTAGTGTGGATTTACTATGAGGGCGGCTCTCATTCAGTCGGCAAATGTGAATGAAAGTCTTTAAATGCAGCTTTTGATTTAGCCGTTATCTAATCGTGAGTTGAGGGCGCATGTGGGAATGTAGGGTAGACTGAAGCAGCAGCTCCCAAAACTGGGGTCCGGGGACCACCAGAGCTCCCTGAGGGAGTCGACAGCGAAACCGGGAGTAGTTCAGTTTGACTGTTTACAACGAAAAAGGTGTAGAAATTGTCATCGGAGCTCGGTATAGGCAACAGCAACCTTATGCTTTATGGTTACTGGGACAAAACCTTATAGAAGTCTGAGCTTGCATGACATGGGCTGTTTGGCAACCTCCTGGAATAAAGTGATACTTTATTACGCGTTTTCATATTTGGCAGCATGTTAACGTTGCTGTTTGTTTGAATGGACACCACACTCTCATTCATTTTTTGTTGTTAAAGCCACCGGGAGGGAGTGAGTGAGTGAGTGATCGTTTGTTCCCATATCCCAGCCGTGTTGTGCGTGTTTTTGGCTTTGTGCAGGCAGCGCAGAGCGCACTGGCCCGGGGTCTGTTTGGAAATGTGGTGGGTCCTGTAAAGGAATTCACTGATTGAGTTTGATCTGACAAAGCATCTTTGGACCGCCCGGATGCTTGGACGTGTTTCAGCACTGCTGAGAGAAACCACAACACCAGAGCAATGTCTTCTGCAGCAGTGACATTTGTAGCACAGGGACTGAATGGCTCTCCCTAAAGAAGAGATTCTAACAGTTTTGTTTCAAATTAGAGGGGGGGAAAACTTTATAATGTAGATTGCTGCAGGGAAATAGACGTCAGCTGAAAACTCTATTTGTAACCAGCTCATTCTGTTAGTATTTAGCAGTTGAACGTGATTGAAAAAGACTTTTACTGCAACAAAAGTACTAATAATCTGTTCACAGTACACATATGGTGATCATTTTTTACTGAATACTCATTAAAGATAAGACACTATTGCTGTTTTTCTCTTAAACTGCAACTATAATCAACATTTTCAGCTTGTTCTGTAGGGAGGAAATTTGTATTTTTAGGCTCTTTTCATTGCTGTTTCTCTGGACTCTGTAAATTTAAACCACTTGTATCTAGTTTCCACAAAAGGTTAACATTAGTGCGGATTATTGCCACAGCTATTCCGATTAAATCATCTCAAATGTGGGAGATCCTGTCCCAGTTCTGGACTGAGTTCAGGTGACAGACGTGAGATTTTAGCAGCAGTCTGACAGCACACTCATGGTAGGACAGCACTGGCATCAACTCTGTGTTTAGCTAGTTAGCAGCTTGAACTGTCATCATATTATACAATGCTCAAAATTCCCACAGAAAGACACGTGTTTCTGAATACAGATGCATGTGTTATCCAGTGTCTTGGATGGAAGTTGTTGCTGTGGTATAGATTTGGCCTAAATTCTTCACACTTGAGACTCAGATTGAGACACAAGCTATGAAACCTGCCTTTGTGGACAGTTGTGCAAATGGTGCATTATTTATGTGTGGTAACATAATAATAATACTGTCCTTTTCTCACCCTCCCTCCTGCTTCGAATCCAGGGGAAGGCGGTAGGTCAGAAAGCTCCTCTCTGGATCCGGGCGAGGTTCCAGGCCCTCCTGTTCTCTCTGGGTTGCCACATCCAGAGGCACTGTGGAAAGGTCCTCTTTATTGGACTCTTACTATTTGGGGCTCTGTCTGTGGGACTCCGAGTTGCAGCCATCGAAACGGACATCGAACAGCTATGGGTGGAAGGTGAGTTTTTAAGATGACTTTTTCATTGCTGTTCCTGTGAAGCAGCAGCACAGGTCAGACTCTGGCATGATTACTGTTTATCACACAAAAACAACATCACTTCAGGTGAGCCGTCATTCTGTGAGTTCAGTTTTAGGCTCATGGTTGAATTTACTTTTTGCTCAGAATAGTCACCCGAGGGTGGTTTGTACATTTTGATGAGCTTTTTTTCCCCCACTGGGTTTAGCTGGAGATTGAATGACAATAGTGGCTGGTGGGAAGAAGCAGGGTGGCCATGTTAGTGTCATCTCAGTGCCATGGGAGGGCACTAGGTGTTCAGTGACTGATTGACTGCTTGTCTGGCTTGAATCCTGACCGAAGCAGTAACAAGGAACATGATTTGTGGGAGCTGGTTTAAAGTTATTTTTTTATGTTTGCCTGTATTGAAATAGCTTGCAGATAGAGTATTAACTTCCTTTTGCGTTGTACTTCTGTTTCCTGTGTGTTGCGGATGGGAGTAAACTATATGTTGTATTCTGCAAGCTGAGTGTTGTTTGTTCATGTCTGTTCATGTCTTAATAAGTCACAGTTTACCTGAGAAACCCAAACACATCTGACCCGACTGCACTACAATATTATCTCTCCCTCTTCTGTCAGACAGTCATTATCTTGCGCATGTCCTAAAGGCATGACCGTGTTTGTAATTCTACACTGACTCTCAAACCTTTTTTTCCCCTCTTTTTCCCTCATTCTGTGAATTTTATATTTAGGTTATCTGTGCATTTTCAGGGTTAGAGGCAGCTTTATTTGGTTTTTCACACTGGCCAAATTCCTTTTAAACCCCCAGGCTTTCAGTGCTAGGGCTGATCCCCGCAGCAGATGGACTGTGTGAATGGTTAGCCATCTTTGAGGGCTCTGACCCCTCCCCCCCTCGGCTCCCTGTGTGGTCCCTAACTATTCTTGGATTCCATTCAACAAGAGGCAAGCAGGCAGGCAGGCAAGCAGGCACCACCTCCCTAAAACCCCCTCCCTCCCTCCCTCCTCCTCTCCTCCTCACAAGAAGAAAAAATATAAGTGAATGCAGCTGAAGTTTACCCACCTGTTTTGCACACTCTAAAAGCGCTACAGCAGTTGGTGAATATAAACAGACCGTATGGGGTTTTTAAGCTCACCATGTCACTAGAGGACGGGGACAGGCGGCTCCCACAGGAGCTGTGTGTAGAGGTGTTGGAGAAATCACACACTGCTGGTGTCAGGAGAAATGTTTGGAGACTGTGCGCTCCACTTGCACAGGAATGTAAATAATTAATTAGTTAATTTTTTTTTTTTAAATCTGTAAATTGTGAGATTGAATTTGCAGGGTTAGGCCTGTATTTGCTACAAAAGCAGGCAACAAGAGTTTGAATTTCTACAGTCTCCTTTTTTCTTTGCTTTCATTCTGGTTAGTGTAAAGCTTCAGGATTACCTCTTGAGCTAATTGGCAGATCCATCTCTTAAAGGAGATGTTTAGATGTTTGTGTGCCAGTTGTTTTGCTGTGGGATTGAGAGAGTTGAACGGAGGGGGTCTGAAAAGGAATGCTGTGCCTTTAAGAGGCCGTGGCCATGTTTCTAAAGTTTCTGCCTGCCTTGTTTCCACCAATAGCCCATTGACAAAGCTGCTAGGGCCTCAATGGAGAGTAAAGTGGTTCGGTAACAAGGAGAGGTTAGTTCTCCCTCTGTCTCTCCCTCTCTCTCTCTCTCACACACACAAACACAGAAGAACACACGCACACACATGCACCATTGTACATAAGCCAGAAGAGGGAGGAATGATATGCTCTCTAATAAGACAGCTGATTTCATAATAAGACTCTTAAAAATATGTATTATTATTGGACTGTTTTTGTGTATATATCTTAACTAGGAGAAATTTAATTTCTAATGCATTTTTGCAAGTCATTTCCTTCATATCTGACACGTAATCTTATGAAACAGCTCTTCCAGATTGCAGCATAAACAAAGCTTTCCCACTTGTATCCTAATTTGTTCAGAATAAACTAGCTGTGAATTGACACCGTATGTGTTAACACTTCCAACATGGTGTAAGCTCTATGCCGGTGTGTGTGTGTGTGTGTGTGAGTGTGTGTGAATGTGTTAAGGGCATATGCTTCCCATCATATATTCATACTAGAGGCTGCCCCCGCACAACCCACACATACAAAAACACATACACTTGTCATTTTTGCCACCTTTGGTGTGTGCAGCTTGCCTAGCCGTCTGTCTGCCTGCCCAAATTTCCTGAGTGCTTGCCCGTCTGTCTGCCTGTGCTTTGTGTATGTCTGTTTATATTTCTACCTGTCTGCCTGCCTGCTCTGTGAAGTCAGGCCACCAGGGCTTTTTAATTGCTTCCTCCCTCCTACAGCACCAAAACACTGTGAAGCAGAGCACAGCAGTGGAGTCTGTCTAGAGAGAGTAGACAGAGAAAGACAGAATAGGGAGTTCGGTAAAGTTAATACCTGCATTCCCTTGCAAACATACTTGCACCGTATACTGTTCTGTACTAACTGACAGCCTTTACTTGTATCATTTTCATTTGCCTTCAGGATTCTGGTGCATTGGCAAGGAGGACATGCAACAAAAAAGTAAAAGGGTTAATCATGTCTTCAGTCCTCACACCTGTGTTGGTGAGAATAAAAGCCCTAGTATCAGGGTGTTTAGTCTGACAGGGGGGATTAAGGACTATTTGTGGCTTACTGCTCAGTCACTGAGAAAATATCAGACAGACACCACCCATCAAAATACCTGAAATTACTTACACAGGTCTTGTTTAGCAGGCTGCATTTTAAATGTTGTAACACAGAGTTGCATTTTTTTTTTGGAAAGTGTCTGTAGCCCTGAGGGAAGACAGTGCGGGGATGAACACTAGGTGTACATGTGTTATTAATGTGTTCTTATGAAGAGGCCTTTGCCAAATGCATGTAATTTCACTGTAGATTAAGTTTGCATACTGTAAACACACATTATGTTATTCCTTTACGTTTTATGCTTTTATAGCCTGCCCACCTTTGAGAGTGTGAAAGTTGGTGTGAGCTGGGCAACGTGTGAGTCTGTATTGTCCACAAACAGAAAAGAGAGAGATCGTAAAAAAAAAGAGTTGCAGGAAGAAGAGAAGGATGAGAGGAGACATTTGGGGGGTTGGGGCAGGAACAGGCCGGAAGGTTTATGGCTAGCTGACACTTCTTTTTTTGCTCATGTTTTTGCCTGTCTCACTTGAACAAACATCAAGTGTGAGACTGTCTCCTGCGTGTCTTTATTTCTCCATAAAGGACTGTGAGAGGTTATGTGGTTCCTTGCTCACGCTTGCTCAAGCTTGAAAAAATAAAAAATCTGATTTCTTTTTGCAGTGTTTGAATAATTGTTTTAGGTCTTGTATCTTGTATTTTAAGTTCTGATTATTTCACTTCTACAAAGGCCCACTTGAAAAGCTTGTTTTGGGAAGGAAAGAAATGGCCTCCATGTAAAAGTGGTGGTGTTTACTCTTACATTAACTAAACTCATCCTTCTTGGCAGAGTTTGGGTGAGGCATGACAGACATGTACACAGACTCAAGCTGTCCAAATATGAGTGCAGTGAGACAGGGCCTATCCGGATAGCAGGCGCACCACATGTCCCATAAAGAGGCCATGTAGAAAGAGGATAGGAAAGGGGGAGGTAAAGCCCATACGCAGTCCACATAGCATGAATGCATAGAGACTGAAGTGCTAGCTTAGCCAGATAGCAATGAAATCAACAAGGTCACAAGCAGATATGAAGAGACAATTTATTAAAAGAAAGAGAAAGACAACCTGGATGAGAGAAAAACGTCTGAGTTTGCGCAAATGAGCGAATGCACACGTGGGCATTACGATGTTTGGAGCAGTTTCTCTAAACAAACCTCAGAGCGGCACAGCAGGTAAATGCTATAATTCATCGGAGCGCACACAGCGCCCCAGTTCAGACAGAGAAAGGGAGCTCTATGAGGCATTATTGGAGGTGAATAGTGCGCGGTGGTGCCCCAGCTAGATAAATAAACTCCCAGCGCTCAGGGCCCAGGACCTCACTGGTAGAGAGAACAAACAAGACCAGAGTCAACCTGGGTCACTTCTAAATGTTTATTTCACCCCCCTTCCCGCCATCCTTCAATCCAAGTCTCCCTCATTCCATCCCCTTTTTCAGTATCCCCCCCAACACACACATACACACACACATACTCTTTAACAGTGAGACCAGGACCACCCCCCAACAAATAAACACAGATTTAGCAGCTATAGATACATGTACATACGACAGACACATGGCTTTTGCTTCCATGATACAGGAAACACACAGATTGCTCCCTACCTGTCTTTTTGAAGTAGCAATTTTAAAATGACAGTATTCATCATGTGGACTGGATTTCAAAGTTACAGCCACATTTACAGTGATAACATGAAAGATACCTTTATACTGTTATTTTGGTGCCAACGCTTTTATAAAAAAGGACACTGGACTGTCAGTCTTTGCAACACTGAATGCAATATACTGAGAAAGGCTGCAGTGCAACTGAAAACAGGATAATGAAAACTCAATCAATATAGTGTGGCGCCCTTTCTTTCCTAGCTGAAGAGCAACCTTTGTCTTTGGTCTGCGCAAAAATAAAGCGGCACCAGTCACCTTAGAGTTTGCACCATTTGCCTCTGTCTTTACACCATGAAAGTATAAAAAGTAAAGGGAGAGGGAGATGGAGAGAGACTGAACATTTTCTTGGTACTTGGGAGGGAAAAAAGAAATGGTTCTTGGGCTCAATAAATTCATTTCTCGTCTGAATGAGACCAGCAATGTGGAAAAATTTTGCCTTTCAGGCAGGGATGAATGTATGTTTCAACCACACATTAAGCAGTATTAGCGGTCAGTGGAGTGTCTAATGTGACTATTTTTCACAGTGGCCAACTCTGCCCATGATTAGCATAATTAGCAGAGGCAAGCCTATACATATGGAAATAGAAAGTGCCTAAATGCCAACCCTGGTGGAAATTTATGTGTGGTGGCTAACACCACTGGCACATCTGAATAGAATGTAAGTGAAACTGATTTTTCATGTTGTTTTCCCTGTTTTATACTGTTTTTAAGGTGTGATCTAAAGGTGGTTGTTTTTTTCTTAATGGAGGAAGCTGCATGGTTTCAACACATTGAAACGGATCATTTTTGTTTTCTCGTGTTCACACGTTAATTAGGATTTTCTCCTTCTAAAATAATACAACTGTCTTTGACGATTAATGAACAGATACACCGTGCGCGTGAAGACAAAAACACACACACACACACTGTATTTCTATAGGTAAGATACCAAAGTGCCAGCTTCTCTTTCTTGCCCCCAGCCTCACCCTCCCACAGCCAACTCTGGCATTGTTTTACAGGCTGGGAAAGTTTTGGTCCATTTGCTTTTGTTGTGAAAAAAAAACCTTCCCTCTTTATTTTATTCTGCTGTTTGTTGGGAAACATCTGAAAGAAATTGAAGGGTTGAATGACAAAAGGGTCTGCATTCAGTCTGGAGCTGCTGTACTGAAGGATTGTATGGAGGAACGGCCCATCTGCTGGGGGTTGCCTGCTTTAGGCGGTGCCCTGGCTAGGGAATGCCATGGGGCAGGGCCGGGCTGTGGCACAGACCCGATTCTGGTGGGTCCACATGTGAAAAAAGGACCAAGAGGGTTTTTTTGTGATGCTGACTGCCAGGCCAAGAGAATGAGTTTCTCATTTGGCTCCTTTGCTGAAAATCAAAAGAGATAAAGGACCTCTATTGGAAGACATTGTGAAAAAAAGTTGAGTAAATGATAGATGGAAGCTGGCAGCCAAGGGATAGCTTTCTGTCTCATTTTATACATTGTTCCTACTCTGTGGTGGTCAGAACTCTTCCCCCCTAAAATCTTTAACTAAAGGAGGTGTGGGCATACTGTGTTAATCAGGACAAGGTTACTTCCAATGCATTGCGTAGCAGGTAAATGCATACATGTCACTTTCAGCCTTCTTCGTCTTTGGTCTTCCTCCATAGCAGCGTGGGGCCTTTCAGAGGCCCCCTAATCCAGCTAATCTACCACACTGAACTTTGAAGGTGGCCTGGTCTGACCTAGCATGGCCTGGAACTGGGACTAGGCCTGTAAGCCACGAAGACAGCATAGAATAGATAGAATGGAATAGAAGAGAATAAATTTGAAGCACAGCACTTTAAAGGTTTCCTTGCCTCTGTCCTAGAAGCCAGATGTGAGAAGCCGCACATATTTCACCGAGTAAGGGGATTCTGGGTGTTCGGTTTTTAGGGATGGAGGGGTCAGTCGGAGAGGAAATGACTGAGGTTGGTGGAGACAGGGTCCAGTGTTTACACCGGTGCACACACACACACACACACACACACACACACACACACACACACATAGGTACATGTACACACACATTCGTACAAACATTATATTTGTACACCCACAGCCATGAAACCATGTCAGTGCTTGTTATGACATTTTTCATTTGCTTTTCACTTTCCCAGTGTCGTAACTGTTGTGAAAGTGCTTTTAGTGGTGAAGCTAGTAAATGAATTCACATGTTGCACCCAACAGAGTCGAGTTGTTTGCTAAAATTTGTAAGATGGTGGTCGAGTTTCTCAAAAACATCCAATGAAAGAACTGTGGATGTGATTTAGAAGAATTTGGGATCATTTGTGATTTCTTCTTTCTATTTTTCATTTTTGATCATGTTGCCAAACATGGACTAATATTTCATGTTAGAAAATTGCTCATGTAATAAAATTACCAGCCGCTGGGGTGTTGAAACCCCAACTTCCACACTCAAAGGCGCTTTCTTCCCATGGTGGGAAAATTTCTGGGAACTGTCTCTTTAAGACTGTGTGGAGCGCAGGCTGAGTGCAGGGAGAGGGTAGGGGGGATTGAAAGAGAGTGAGAAAGAGAAAGAAGTGAAAAAGGAGAGAGAGGGAGGAAAAGGAGAAGAGAAACCAGGAGAAGAAAGACAGATAAGAAAAGAAAGGACAGGGTTCCCTCTGGAGCGAGTGGTGAACAGAGCAGAGCTGAACCGAGCTGAGTAGTTGCGAAGCTCAGAGTTGAGTGGTTGGGGCCGGACCAGGGGTTGTGAAGAGAAGGCGAGAAAGAGAGAGAGAGAAAAGAGAGAGGACTGGCTGCCTGGGTGGTCCAGATGGGAGGAACGAGACACAAATAGCTATAATTTACTTCAGGAGGCCTGTAATTACAGAGCCAGAGTCTCTCCGAGCCACCCAGTTCCTGTTGGGATCAAAACCCCACACTGCAGAGGTTAACATACGAAATGTCAAAAAAGGTTTAACAGATGTCAAAGAGGTCCAAGAACGGAAAGGGTTCCATTTTGTAGTAGCCTTCTTTGATTGGAAATCTGTGTGGCAAGGAAGCTGAGTTGAAGTCGGGGAGAACTGTCCATCTGAGCACCGTTCTTACACCAAGGCAGATTCTTTGTACATGTACTTGACAGTGTGAAAATGGTTTTATAAAAGTCAAATAAACTAAAAGAACCAGCACTCTTAAGAAGAAAAAAATAATTGTCTCCAATAGTCTTGAGGAAATCTTTTTTCTTGTGGTTCCCTTGGAATAAAAGCGTTATAAAAACTCAAATTTTGTAGGACCAGATGTGCAGAGGATATCCAACAAGAACATGTCCCATTTTGAGGTTTTCTTCTCTTTGGGATGCACTGAGCCAGACACTTAAAAAAAAGACACCCATGACTGCAAATAAACGAGATGGCCTTATACTCTACGCCCCTGCGTAAGGTAATTAAAGCCTTGAAAGCAAAGCCTCGAAGTATTGGACAGTGTTTCCAAGGCCCAGAGTCTCTAACCTGATCTCACACTTTTCGCGGCGTTGGCTGAATCATTTGTTTTTTCTTTTCTCCCCATCAATTATAGGAGCCTGCTCCAGGCTGGGCTAGGTGCACGAGAGCATGAGGGAAAGAGAGAACGAAAGAAAGATTGGGAGAAAGACAAGTATATAGAGTATGAGAGGGATACATGCAGGCAGGAATGAGTGCAGCGCCGGGACAGTGAGTAAAAGAGTGACGAGAGTTAGAATTGAAAAGGAGGTAGCCCTTGTTTCCAGACTGCCCCACCACCTCCCCCCTTCTCTCCTTTTCCCTCCCTCTCTTTCTCTCTCTGGGGTTGTCATGTAGTGGGACAGCGAGAGGGGCAGACGGGCCCTCTGTGATCCAGCGCGGCATGTTTCATGTCCACTTGGCACAGGCACAGATCCCCCCGGCTGGCAAACTCTTTTCAGGGCAACCTCCTGTAATTAGGGGGCTGGAGTCTACCGCACAGCACAACATATCTCTCTCTCTCTCTCTCTCTCTCTCTCTCTCTCTCTCTCTCTCTCTCTCTCTCTCTGTATTTTTCATCCTCTTTCTATCTCTTTTTTGTTCATCACCACCGCTGATATCCGTATTTATCTCTATGAATCTATTTACCTTTCTTTATGTATTTGTATCTCCAAGTTCTTTGATGTCTTTCATTCCCAACTTCTGTGTGCCATAGCCCCACCACTGCCTCTCCCTGTTCCCCCTCATCCAACCCTTCTCCTCTCTTCTCTTCTCCTCTCTTCTCTTCTCTTCTCTTCTCTTCTCTTCTCTTCTCTTCAAAGCCCTGAGTCTGGTGCCAAAAAATATAGCTTAATGACGTAGTTACGGTCAACTTATTTTCATCTAAACTACCTTAAAGGTGGATACAGAATATAAAGATCTAGTAACTCGTCATGATCTTTTCTCACATATTCAAAATGTCGATATATCTGCTGCCCTTGAGAATAGTGGCAGAGGGTTTTGGGGCATCAGAAGGCTGATTTTCCTAACTAACAGGGCACATCTGTTTCGCAGAAGGAGCCAATGAGAAGCTGTATTACTCATTTCTCTTGGCCAGACGCTGGCTTGTGTGAAGTGCCTTCAAAACCAACACTGGCGAGGGCCAAGGGCGTTGGTCGATATATGTGTGTGTTCTTGTGTAAGTGTGTGTGCATATATACGCACGCCACACACTTTGTTTTAGGATCCAAATGTGTGTGTGTGTGTGTGTGTGTGTGTCTTTGTATGTGCTTTAAAGAAAGTCTGTGCTAATGTAAGACTAATATACAGTATATCAATCTATCTATCTATCTATCTATCTATCTATCTATCTATCTATCTATCTATCTATCTATCTATCTATCTATCTATCTGTCTATCTATCTCATGAATTCTGTATTAATTATTCATTATTAACTTATCCTTTATTCTTTGTTTTCTAGCTGGTAGTCGGGTGAGCACAGAGCTTCGCTACACCAGGGAGAAGCAGGGAGAGGAGTCAGTATTTACCTCACAGATGCTCATCCAGACCCCCAAAGAAGAGGGCACCAATATTCTTAGCCAGGAGGCTTTGCTGGTTCACATGGAAGCCGCCCTGTCAGCCAGCAAGGTCCAGGTGTCACTGTTTGGAAAGTAAGTGGACCACCCTCCATCGTTTCTTGTGTTTACATTTGTGTCAACAATTTAAGTTGTAAATTATTATTTATTAACTATTGTTGTTTCTCTCTTTTAGATCATGGGATCTTAACAAAATATGCTATAAATCAGGAGTCCCTATTATAGAAAATGTCATGATTGAAAGGGTAAGTTCACAATAAATAGATTTTTCAAGTCCTGTATATACATTTTCTTTTTACCTGATTTGTGATGCTTAATCGTGCTTCCTTTCTATTTTCTGATCCTAGATGATTGACAAGCTATTCCCCTGTATGATAATCACCCCATTGGACTGTTTTTGGGAAGGGGCCAAACTACAAGGAGGCTCCGCCTATTTACCGTAAGTATTGGAATATTTGAGTCAACTTAAATCTTTTTTGCATATTAAAACATTTCATAGAAAGTCTTGGCTCTCCCTTTGCTGTCATTGCTTCCATCTGACTTGCGTTGCAGACTTGTGGAGGGGTTCGTAACTTTTAACACATGCTCGATGGAGACATACAGTTGGGCTTTCAGTAGTCTGTCAGTGGGTGCTGTGACTGACAGCGGCGGTCAGTAATAGAGTTCTTTTAGGGCCCAGAGAGGGACTGGAGGGGGTGTGGGGGTGTCCTGACAGAGAAATTCAAAGAGAGAAAGTGAGGGAGAGATGCAGGGAGTGAGGGAGGGATGGAGAGAGAGAGGGAGAGAGAGAGAGAGAGAGAGAGAGAGAGAGAGAGAGAGAGGGGATGGCTGCAGCAGCAACTGGGTGGTGGGTTGGTAGAACGGAGGGTGGGGAGGTGGCGGTGGTGGTGGTGGTGGCGGTGGCAGGGGAGCCCTTTGGGTCAGACAATGGTAAGCATTCTTTCAGTTTACGAGTGAGTGTCCATCAGTGCAGGGGCCCCGGAGGAGGGAGGGGGGCCGGCTTTTGTCAGCTCACGGCTAACACTCGGCATTCTCATGGTAATGCCCCGGGCTCCCAGCTCCCAAGTTGTCCAACAAATAAAATGGGCAGTATTCAAGCCTCAAGTCCCTCGAGAAAGACAGAGAGAGGCTACAAGACGGTTAACAGTGGAGTCTGGGCGTATTTGGGCATTTGCGGATTCAGGGTTTTTTTTTTCGCCTTTTTTCAGGACAAAGTTCTCTTGAGAAATTGAGTCACTGAAAGAGAGCTTTTTTTGTCATCAGAAGTGATATTTCAATTGAATCCTTAGTTTATAAAAGATAGTTTAGATCATAGCAGATGTTTCTTTGCAAACAAATTATTTGTTTATATTTCTGTCCAGAGCTGACAGCGGTATGTTGCATGACAAGCCAGCACACACAGAAACAAACACAAGTTTCCCATCCTTAGTATCTCCCAGTTGGTTTGTGTGAAAGCAGAGCGACAGAGAGCGAGAAAGGGGGGTCTTTGATGATTCACACATCTTCCAAGTATTCCTGTAAATCACACAAAGTGTTCAGCATCTGTTATTGTTTATTAAATGGTTTTTTGTACTCACTTTTTCAACGTGGAAGGGAAGGGAAGGGAAGGGAAGGGAAGGGAACTTGCGGTGGTCACTGAGGCCTGTGTCCCCCGAGTCAGCTTCCGCTTCACTTCAGCTCTGGTTTTAAATGCAAAAAGAAAGAGGGAGATAGAGAGAGAGAAGGGGGAAGAGGGAGAGAGGCATATTGGAAAAGAGAGTGAGGAAGAGTGAGAGAGAGAGAGAGAGAGAGAGAGAGAGAGAGAGAGAGAGAGAAAAAAAAAAAACTTGAGAGAACAAAGAGCAGCAATCTATGAAAAAACAAAAGGGCCCAGGCCCGGTTCACTCAAGCAAAAACTAGCTGATAAAGGAGTGTGTCTTTGCGAGCAGCAGCAAAAAGGACCCTGGTATGTGGGAATAGGAGAGGAGCTCTCTTCATGAGCCATTGGAGGGAGATTGCGCCCAAAGTTGAGATACTTTTGGGATTCTTTTATTTCCCTCTTTTTCTGTCTGTCTGTCATCTTTCTTACTTTGCCTCATTGCACAAAATGTCTATCAAAACTGTTTTCTTGCAGAGAGTCACAAAATCTGTCATTGTCAGCATTTTATTTCTTCTTTTCTTGGTTTTAGTAAAACAAAAAAAAGTAATGTCTTAGAAGTCTCTGCCATGCTGCGGATAGGAAATATTTCTTTCCAACAGACTCAAACCAGGAAAGCCGTCAAGTTATTTTACATTGTGCCCTCCTTCATATATATTACCAACTTTGGGGTACTGCACATGAAGGTTTAATTTTAAGTAGAAGGAATCAGTAATATTAAAGTTGATTGATTCACTTTCTGAAAGATATATTTCAGTAAAAACAAGAGCAAGTTCCCAAACTACAGACAGCTGGTGAGGTACGCCAAAGCAGGATATCTTGTTATACATGTAAAACACTCCAGATAGACATTAGTCCCTTAAGCAAGTAGACCATTTAATAATAGTTTAGTATAGATTTACAGACTTTAATATTGAGCAGATTATGAGTCTAGTAGGATTGATGTACAGGTGAAGCTCATAATTAGGTTCTTTGTCTGTGAACATCAGACAACAAACACTGATTTCTCCCTTCGCTTCTCTTCTCATCCCTCACCTATTTCCCTCCCATCCATCCTCCGAACCTCTCCCCTTCCCTCCCTCCTTATCAAGATGTTTGTGAGGCAGAGGTAATCGTTATGACTCAGTGCAGGACATTGAGGAATGGAAGTGAGCAGGCAGCCACCGTGCCTTTTCCCCGGGCATTGTGGCAGCGTGAAACAGGATAATAAACGCTATTTTATCCTGTATCTGCAGCTAGCCTCCTGCATAGCCCGGCACAACGAGGGAGAGAGAATTCAACTGAAATGAAAAAATCATAGTTATTCTGCTCGCAGTAAAGATTTGCAGGAATGCAAAGCCGTGTAGCCTTCAAGGCACAACGTGATAAAAAGTTATTTCACAGTTTCTTCCTCGTTGAATATGTTTAAGCTGTTGTTCATCATAAATCTGTCTCTTTGCTCTCCAGGGGTATGCCAGATATCCAGTGGATGAATCTAGATCCAGTCAAGCTGATGGAGGAACTGAGTCAGTTCACTTCACTAGAAGGATTTAAGGAGATGTTGGACAAAGCCCAGGTAGGACACACAAATACACACTGACAGATATGCTGAATGAAAGACTTACTCATATGAGCAATAAGTTACTCATCTAGTTTTCATCTAGACTTTTGTAACATTGTTTGATTTCTTAGGTGGGACATGCCTACATGAACAGGCCATGTCTAGACCCGTCAGACCCTGACTGCCCTCTCAGTGCACCCAACAAGGAGCAAGGAGAGGTAAACTCACAGTTCATTCACTACATACAGCAAGAGATTGCAAGTTGATGAAGGTAGCGTTCAGAGCTACAAAGACGCCTGACATAATTAACTGTATTTTTCCGTCTGTTCCTGCTCGTCCATCCAGAGTCCTGACATTGCTGGGCGTCTCCAGGGTGGTTGCCACGGTTTTAGCCGGAAGTTTATGCACTGGCAGGAGGAGCTGATCCTGGGAGGGCGGGTCAAGAACAGCCAGGATACTCTGCTGAGGTGTGTGTTTATTGAGACATGTAAAGAAAGATCAAATACTGCAGTGCCAGGTGATTTTACAGAGTGCGTTTTAAGTTGTCTTATTGGAATATGTAATAGTGTGTGTGGGGGGGTCACTATGATCACTGCCAGCTGAGCAGGCAGCCAGTCAGCTTATGAGCCGCCGTGACTGTGGAATCTGTGTAACCCCTAATAACCCAACAGACACATGCCAAGAATGCCTTGTACTGAGAGCGATCGGTTTCCTGCATGACCCTGGGTCAGGATAGGCCAATTAAAGATGATTGACAGCCACATAAAGCCCCCCCACACTGTTACACATTTGTTGTGTAAGGAATATATAATTTTCCGTCTTTTTATAAGACTTTCTCCAGAGTTTTGTTTTTTCCCATTGACTTCAACTGGATTTAAAAGCATGGTCAATACAAATGGAGTGACAGCATTGGGTCAGAGCCCAGATCATGACCCACACAGGCCCTCAAAAAAGCCTTGAATAAGAGAGGATTCCAGTACCATCTGCAAGAGCCACACTTACTCTGGGATGTGATTTATGATCATTTCTTTCACATTTTGAGCAGCTCTGCTACTCACTGTGGCGGTGCCAAGAAAACCTGAGGACATCTGGGATCGTAGCCGAGAGACCGGCTGACAGACAGACTAGATAACACCTGCTTTTGGCTGTTTATGTTGGCAGACAGACAGGCAGACAGAGCAGACATCTCCTAGAAGAAATGGCACCTGCCTTTAGCCATTCACAGAAAGGCATGTTCCTGTGTAGGTTCAGGGATACCAGGAGCACCTGACAGGGGGTGGGATGAAGCAGTTGAAGTTTCAACTCAGCTCAACACGCAATAAACCAGGGGGAGCTCTGATATGTCCTAAGCTTACACTTGTGTGTTTTGCAGTGCGGAGGCTCTCCAAACCATGTTCCTGTTGATGAGTCCTAAGCAGCTGTACGAGCACTTTAAAGACGACTACGAGATCCACGACATAAACTGGAATGAGGAAAAGGCTACCGCCATCCTCGAGTCCTGGCAGAGGAAGTTTGTGGAGGTGCGGGCATACACACACCTTTCATGTATATTCAAATGCTCACATACACACACACACACACAAATAAAATAAATGCACACATTAAGCTGGATAGAAGTATAGATTTTTATTGTAGCCAACAACAAGAAAGAGGAGGATGAGAAGAATAAGGGATTTTTCTTGTTCCTATGCAGTCTTGTTTTGCTTTGGTTCCCACACACAAACACACACACACACACACACACACACACACACACACACACACACACACACACACACACATACACACTTCATGGGACTTATTCTGCAGTGTCTGAATTCCATCAGTCTTTAACTCCCTTGTAAAGCGATTTGCGGGGCAGACCAGGGCAGTAGGTGTGTGTGTGTATGCATATGTGTGTGTGTGTGTGTGGTAGGCTTGCCATCTCTCTCTGTCAGAGCCCTAGTTATAGGAACAAGCTGTTGCTGTGATAGCTGACACCCACCACAGTGAGAGTAAGGAGGGAAGGAGGGACATGTGCAAGGGAGGAGGGGTAACAATCTCAAACGATACCTGACATATTGAAGAACCAGAACAGATCTATTTGAGATTGCGAATGATTTCTGAATGTGGACAGGTAAACAGCTTTGGGGAGTTTTGGTCCATTCAGGGCACAGAGTGGAGCGAGCAGCCTCCTGGGCCATGTGATCCCATCCCTTTCACCTTTGACCTCACAACCTCTGGCATCTGTGCTCATTACTCCCCAGTTGTCATACATACACACGCACTCACACACATGCTAGCACATGTGAAAACACACACACATTCATACTCATTTTCACACAAGGGCACATTTCAAAGGGATAGGGTGCTTATTCTGTCACAGGGCCCAAAGATATGGTGCTGTAAGAAAGGCTTGGGGAAGCATCAGTCAAAGGGAGGAAGTGTGTTTTCATGTTGAAAAAAAAAGTTTAGCTTGTGTTACTCAGCAGTTCAACCCCTTCAAGGTACATATAACTATATTCTCTTTGGCAATGTTATTGTTAATTGTGTTGGGAATGTGCTAAAGAATGTATATTTTGGTGTATTTTATGATTTAGCTGGACTTACTGATGGTTAATTGATCTTTGTCCTTCAGGTGGTCCACCAGAGTGTCCCAGATAACTCCAGCCAGTCCATCCACGCTTTCTCCACCACCACCCTCAATGACATCATGAAATCCTTCTCAGATGTCAGCGTTATCAGGGTGGCCGGCGGATACCTGCTCATGGTGAGCTCAATAATCGATTATGGCTTGTAATTTTATGAACAAAAATTTGACTTTGCTGTAAAATAACTAATATTTAATTCGGATGTCTCCTCTCTAGCTGGCCTATGCCTGTGTGACCATGCTAAGGTGGGACTGTGCAAAATCCCAGGGGGCCGTCGGGCTTGCCGGAGTGTTGTTAGTGGCTCTGTCGGTGGCTGCAGGACTGGGTCTCTGCTCCCTGCTCGGACTCTCCTTCAATGCTGCCACCACACAGGTATAACACAAAGCGATTTTTAGGAGAACTGAAGGGGGTCTTTCTTTGATTTAAAGCTTTTTTTGATTTTGATGTCAAACACTTTAAATGTTCTTTCTGACCCTTTCCCATCCCAGGTGCTTCCCTTCCTGGCACTAGGCATTGGTGTGGATGACATGTTTCTGTTGGCTCATTCCTTCACAGAGGCTGGAAGTAACATCCCCTTTAAGGTACGTTTAAGACAATACTTTCCTCTCCTCTCCTCCCCTCTCCTCCCCTCTCCTCGCTTCTCTTCTGAACGCTGTCTGTGTTTGTTTTAAAGGAGCGGACAGGAGACTGCTTGCGTCGCACCGGCACCAGTGTGGCTCTGACTTCCATCAACAACATGATTGCGTTCTTCATGGCCGCTCTCGTACCCATTCCTGCCTTGCGAGCTTTCTCTTTGCAGGTATGTTTTGCAAGCACGCACGCCCTCACACGCATGCACACAGACATAAACACATGTACACAATCGCACACCGAGAGGCCCAAGGCTCCTTTGAAAATGAAAGAGATAACTTAAGAGAGGTGACACTTATTCAGAGCAGGGAAAGCCTTTGTTCACAGTTTTATTGCTGCTGCACCTACAGGGCCAACATTTTTGTGTGTGCGTGTCTCTGTGTGTGTTTGCATGTGTGTAATGTGGAATAATCAGAGCAAAGAGAGTGATGAACAGACAGAGAGAGGCAGACAGAGAGAGAACGAGAGGGAGAGGGAGGGAAGAGTGGATCAGTATATCACTGGCCCGTCAAGGCGGTTTGCTCTGATCTGTGACTAACTGTGGGTGGTCTGAAACACACAAGCACACACACAAATGCACACACATACATGTACACACACTGCAAACCACAGCCAGTTAGAATGTCAGCTTCAGGGGCTGGGGTGAGTGAAGGGTGATGGTTTTGCTCAGACTCACAACATATATATTCCCTCCCTGCTTCTTTCTCTCACTCTTTCTAGTAGTTCTTTCATTCTGGCTCTCTTTTCTTTCTTTTCTCTCTCTCTCTCTCTCTCTCTCTCTCTCTCTCTCTCCCTCTTCTGGCTCGCTTAGTATTCCTGGCTAGTGATTTAGAGTAAGGCTTTTCTTTACTTTCTATGCTGTGGTCTAAGATACTAAAAAAAAATTAAAAAGAAGGAGCCCTGACTCTCCCCAGCTGGGGTAGGGTGTCTGTAATTTCACATACTGTTCTCTGTTTTTTCTCACATTGTTTTTCTCTCTCTGTTTCCCTCCCTAGGCGGCCATTGTGGTTGTGTTTAACTTCGCCATGGTGCTGCTCATCTTCCCTGCCATCCTCAGTTTGGACCTCCACCGGCGCGAGGACAAGCGCTTGGATATCCTATGCTGCCTGTACAGCCCCTGCTCTGACCGTGTCATCCACCTCTCTCCGCACGAGCTGTCAGATGCTGGAGAGCAGCCACACACGCCCACGACGGCAACAGCTCACACTCACCAGTACACGGCAGGATCGACAATCACAACCAGCACCCAAATCACCACCACGGTGCAGGCATTCACACAGTGCGACGCAGCGGGCCAGCATATCGTCACCATCCTACCACCTACCTCACAGATCTCCACCAGCCCGCCATCTATCATTGTCTGCCCCACCTCACAGCCTCAAGGTAAATAAAACTCTATTGAACTTCTAAAATGTATGTTATTTTGTTCAAAGCATTCCCTTAAATAAACCCTGATGCCAAAACACCAATTTGCTGCTTCTATTTCCTTTCCCTAGCTATCACACCTTCCCCTACCACCACCTCTGTGCCGGACCCCTACGGCTCCCAGCTCTTCACACCCACCTCCAGCTCCACTCGGGACCTCCTAGCCCAAGTAGAGGATTCCAAATCGGGAAAGAAGTGCGTCCCGCTCCCTTTCCTGCACTGGAACCTGTCCAGCTTTGCCAGGGAGAAATACGCCCCTCTGCTCCTCAAGCCCAAAAGCAAAGCCATCGTGGTGGTTCTCTTTCTGGGTCTCCTGGGGCTCAGCTTGTATGGGACCACCATGGTGCACGATGGCCTCTACCTAACTGACATCGTGCCACGCGACACCAAGGAGTACGATTTCATCGACGCCCAGTTCAAGTATTTCTCCTTCTACAACATGTACCTGGTGACCATGGATGGATTTGATTACGCCCGGTCACAGAGGCTGCTGATCCAGCTGCACAACGCCTTCAACTCTGTTAAATACGTGGTCAGAGACAGTGACAACAAACTGCCCCGCATGTGGCTGCACTACTTCCAGGACTGGCTCAGAGGTACGAGTTCAGTCTCAGTAATGTTTTTTGATTTTTTTATTCTGGTAATAAGTTAGTCTCTTTCCCCATGAGGGTTTTCTTATAATGATGTCAGAATATCAGAGAGTGCAACAGGTTTTTTCAGGTGTGCTTTTTCTTTTTTTTAACTAAAGACCGGAGTGAATGAATGTATGTTGGTGCTGGGGTGAGAATGTGCTAAGGGTGATTGAAAGTTCAATCTGCCTGTTTACCCCCATCCACCTGGGCTCATGGGTGGTGCCTTAGACGGGTTGGGGTCATAGGTTATCTTTGCATGTGTGTGTCTGTGTGTGTGTGTGTGTGTGTGTGTGTGTGTGTGTGTGTGTCCTCGGGCTAGAACGTGTCATAGACTCAGTCAGAAGGAAGTGATAACTAACAGCTCAATCAGAGCCAGCTGAAAAAAAGAAACGGAAAAGGAAACTTGATCACATTTCCAACATCACTGCCCACATAGACACACAGGAAAGCGCCTATAATTTTATGATAATAGACATCATATTATTTATAAATGACAACCACAATAACCCTGTCTTTTCTGTGTGTGTTTTACCTCACACGCAGGTCTTCAATCGGCTTTTGATGCTGACTGGCAGGCAGGCAGGATTACCTCTGACAGCTATCGTAACGGCACAGAGGACGGAGCTCTGGCATACAAGCTTCTCATCCAGACCGGCTCCAAGAAAGAGCCTTTCAACTACAGCCAGGTATGTAGACGGGCTACAAGAAATACTTTAAAACAAAATCCACATGTCATTCCTACTTATGTCACTGTGTGTGGCATTGTGGACAACTACATTATCAGCTGTCTTTTTACCATTTATTCTGACAAAAGCTAGACTATTAAATCAGAATTTTTTGAATCGTTGTCCTCTAGCTGACTTCTCGCCGGTTGGTGGATGCAGAGGGTTTGATCCCCCCAGAGGTTTTTTACATTTACCTGACAGTCTGGGTCAGCAACGATCCTCTGGGCTATGCTGCCTCTCAGGCCAACTTCTACCCCCATCCAAGAGAGTGGATTCACGACAAGTATGACACTACAGGGGAGAATCTGCGCAGTAAGTATCTTATATGCATAATTTTGGCCTGTATGGATACACCTGAAATTGCCTTCCAGTAAAAACAGCAAATGATCTGATTTCAAATCTCGCCTTTCTTCTCTTGCAGTCCCAGCAGCAGAGCCCCTGGAGTTTGCCCAGTTCCCCTTCTACCTGAACGGCCTTCGCCAGGCTGGTGACTTTGTGGAGGCCATCGAGAGCGTGCGGGCCGTTTGTGATGAGTTTAGCCGCAAGGGTGTGTTCAACTACCCTAACGGATACCCATTCCTGTTCTGGGAGCAGTACATTGGCCTCAGACACTGGTTCCTGCTGGCAATCAGTGTGGTGCTGGCCTGCACCTTCCTGGTCTGTGCGATTCTCCTGCTCAACCCCTGGACTGCCGGCATCATTGTAAGCCACCAATCACTTTGCCCTACATCTCCTTATCATGTCCTCCTCTTCCTCTTCCTCCCTATGGCTTTTCCTTTCCACCCTTGCCTGTTCCTGTCTTACATTTTCCACCTCATGCTACCTCAACAACATCATTAGCCCCTTCCTCCCTCTCTTCTTCCTCTCACTTTCTTCTCACCCTTCTCAGCACAGCTCAATAACGCTGTCTAGGGGGCCCCTTTTTCTCTGCGGAGGGCCAGTACGCACACACACACATGGGGACCTTTGTCATTCTAATGTAGGCTGGGCCGGCCTTAGAAAAGGAAATGCAAAGGAGCAAGAAAGGCTTTGCCCTCCTGAAGCCTCTACCTCAAACTCCCTCACTGCTTTTGTCAGAGGGAGAGGGAGAGACTTGGGGACAGGACAGATCTGCCCAGTTGCGACCTTGGCCTGCTCAACCCATCCATCAGGGATATGTGTGTGTGTGTGTGTGTGTGTGTGTGTGTGTGTGTGTGTGTGTGTGTGTGTGTGTGTGTGTGTGTGTGTGTGGAGAGAGAGAAAGAGACAGTCTGAGTGTTCAGCAGTTGGAAAACATTTCACACACAAGCTGGTGGGACCGGTGGTCCTTAAGGGCCCCCCAAACTCACACACATACACAAATCCACATATCCCCAACCTCTGGGGGGGCTGAAGTGTAGCACAACAACAGTGCCGGTTTCAGTTGGAATGTGTTTAATTTAAGTAGCGGTCCCTAGCAGCACTGATTGAGACGGCAACACAACACAATCTTCACAGACAGAGAAAGGCACAGCTACATGCATGTATGGTTTCCAAGCATCAGCCCGCCTGTGAAGGCTTCACCCGGCCTGTATTTGGTCGAGCAGTAAAACGGCTTTTATCATTTCCAATTTAACTGTGCCCCAGCTCCGAGCCCCCACTGAGATCAAAAGCTCCCGTTGGCCAGGAACCGTTTTCTCCTCCTTGTTTATTAAGACTTGTTGTTGCTGTTTGTATTGCGGTTTACAGTAACATTACTAAGATGTTGCATTAAAATATCGGAAACAATAAAACAAGCCAAACAGGCTGCTATCTAGTTAAAAACAAGAGAAATTGTTTTCCACAAACAGAGACAGATGTATATGAATATACTGACAGAGTGCCCACACGCTGTTGTCTCAGGCGCTGTCAATCATTTCAACCACCTCTGGGAAGAAAGAAGAAAGAGAAAAGGAAGGAGGGAGGGAGAAGGGGAAGGTATTAGCCTCGGGGTGGGTAATTTGATGCCATGTGGTTGAGATCCTGAGCACGGGGTCAAAGATTGTGCAGGGTGAAGAGGCAAAAGTGTTCAACTCAGTCATTAAGGAAAGACATATTCTCTTTAATTGGTTTACATGCTTTTATTTGTCTTCTTACTTGCTTGTTTCCCCATCATCCTTAATGGTTCTCAAGCATTGGCAGACGAAAAATGCTTCACTTTTTAACACTTCTTGTTCATGTCTTCTTTTCAGGTGTTTATCTTGGCCATGATGACAGTGGAGTTGTTTGGCATCATGGGTCTGATTGGCATCAAGCTGAGTGCCATCCCTGTGGTTATCCTGATCGCCTCTGTGGGCATCGGAGTGGAGTTCACTGTTCACATCGCACTGGTAAGTCAAGACTCAACACAAAGCAAGAGCACACACATGGATTAACTGTTAGGGGGGGGGGGCTGAGCTCCTACAATTAAACACCTACTTTACTTGAAACCTGATGCTTTGGTCTGACTGTTAAATACATACTACACACCAACATGTGACTACATAAGACTTAATGTGACTGAAAATCACTAGTGGTAGTTTTATGTGGATTTACCTACCTCAGGGAAGAATTAAATTTAACCAGTAATATTATTTTGTAATTAATGATTAAATATATTTTTATCACTACGAGGATAATAATGCAATAAGCTGCATTTTGCAAAATGTTTTTGTAAAGCATAAACTCCTGCGGCTTAATGCCTGAAATGGAAAGTGATAAAGGTAAAATAAGTGTGATTAAAGATTTACTAGGAAGCTTGTGTAGCGTAGCGATTCCCCAACAAAACCAAATGCAGGAATTCTGAGGCGTGCCAAGCCTCACCGCAAGCGCAGGTTTTGTGTGATCGGTAAGATTTCCAACTCATTTCTCCTCTCCACCTCCCCCCTCCGCCACAGGGCTTCCTGTCAGCGATTGGCAACAGAAACAAGCGCTCTGCAGTGGCTCTGGAGCACATGTTTGCCCCGGTGGTTGACGGGGCGATCTCCACGCTGCTGGGCGTTCTCATGCTGGCAGGGTCAGAGTTTGACTTCATCATGAGGTGAGATACTGTGTGTGTGTGTGTGTGTGTGTGTGTGTGTAACCATGTATGTGTTTTTGTCATGCTGACTTTGTGCTTATGTGTGAAAGAGTGACAGTACTCATTCTACACCTTCTACAGCCCATTTGTTACCTTCAGAAGAAGCAGTGTTTTGGTTTTACGCCACTGGTGTGTGTGTGTGTGTGTGTGTGTGTGTGTGTGTGTGTTTGTGTGTGTGTGTGTGTGTGTGTGTGTGTGTGTGTGTGGAGCCAGTTGTCTAGCCTCCCTAGGGGACGGGAGGAAGCCTTGTGGGGGGTCAGTGGTGCATGCAGGTGGAAATGTTATACCCCTATTTATGTACACACACACACACACACACACACACAGTGACAAATATGCACCTGGTTCTGTCACTCTAGGCACACACACATCCATCTCCTGTCTCCCCAACCTCAGAGCACAACAAATGGGGAAAACATCAAGGGTGTGTAGCAGCTGCTCGTAAACATGGAAGTGTTCTGCTACCCACTGGGTGATGTCTCGCTCTTTCTCTCTCCCCCCCCCTCTCGCTCTCTCTCTTTCTCTGTGTCTCTTTCACACACACCCAGACACACACTCACACACACAAGGGAATCTGTAAAAATTCCTATCATCCGCTTGGCATTCTCTCCCACCATGTCGGGTGCCGTAATAAAAAGTGGAGCTAAATTTGAACTGGTCAGCCAGTCAGATGGTCTGAAGCCCACCAACAGACATCACTCTTCCTTGCGTGTGTGAGCGTGCATGTAAATTGTGTGTACTTGTGTGTGTGTTTTCTACCACTGTTTCATGGTCAGAGTGGAAAAAAGGCAAATAGCTCGATGTTTTTCAACTGAATGTGGTCCAGGCCCAAACCCGAAACCACAACCTTGAGCTCACAGACTGCAACAGGCCTCCATGACATAAAAAGCACAGTTTTTCTGCAGATTCAGAGACAGAGGCAGAGAGAGAGAGAGGAGGAGAAGTCCTCTAAGGGCGGCTTCCTTGCAATGATATGAGGTCCTGGTGGGTGGATAGATAGATGTAAGATGAACGTATCCTCCACAGTGTTGGGTTGGAAAGATAAAGAGGTGTAAATATGTAGAAAGACAGAAAAAGAATGAAGAATGAATAGGAAGTAGGACTGGGAGCGAGAAAGTCACAGAGAGCATCTTGTTTTTCTCCTCTCCTCCCATGGCTGTGTGAGAGATAATTTTCAGAGGACGGGGTGAGAAAGAGAGACAGAAGGGTCTAGTATCTCTGTTGGAGGTCTTGTTTAGCTGTAGCTGTAGCTGTAGCTGTGGTCGGGTGAATGGGGCAAGCCAGAGCTGGCTAGCTGGGGAGCAGCATAAATATACTGCTGTAAACATCTCCTGGCCTTGTAATGCACTGAATAAACAGCAAGCCTAATTCAGCTCCGCTCAGAGTCCTCACATACACACTGAACATAGCATGCATGCACACACATGCGGGGCACATATGCGTGCACACGGACACACACAAGGAGAAATGCACATATGTACAGGCATGTAAACACTTACGCTCTCTTTCTCACACACGGCTCCCCAGGCCCTGACAACGAATGGAAAAGATTACAGTTTATATAAACAACAGAATTCCTAACAGTGAGACACTGTTGGAGGTCCCACCAACGTCTCACTCTCTTTTCTTTCTGTCTCACTCTTCTCTTGTTTTTTTTTCTTGTTTTTTGTTTTTAAAGTAGTTGAAGGGTAGTACTATGACCTATTTGTGATTTCAGATTTTGATGTCTGTATGTGAACATGCTTTAATTCAATAAAGCATGCAGATTAAATATCTGTGTGTGGTTTGAAGACAGTCATGGTTTGAGCAGACGGCAAGAAATTGAAAATATCTCCCTGAAGTGTTTTGTCAGAAGTGGTTAAGAGGACATGCGTTATGTTTCCGATAAGGGAAGAAAACAAACGACAGCGGTTAAAGAGGACAAGGGAAAAGATGTCAGAATAAGTGGAGGGGCTGAAATAGGTGCAAATAAGGGTTGTGAAATTACACACAGCATGCAAACCATGAACTTTTCCCTGAAGAGTGACCTTTTGTCAAGTAAAGTAGTAGTAATAATCATTGTAGTAGTCCATTCAGAGGAAAGAGACGTGTTTCCAGAACATTACGCAGCTATTATCCCTGTCCTTGTTGGCATTTTTTTTCTTCATTCCAACAATCATTTTTTTTCCTCCCTCTTTCTTTTACCTCTTTAAGTCTGGCTGGTGGTTAGCATCTTGCTGTCTCTTGCTTTCTGCTTTCTGTTAGTGTTTAAGTGGAGTCCTCTCTAATTTTCTTGTGGAGCTCTTTCTTGTGGCCTGCCTCCACCCCTGGCCTCCTCAGAGCTCCGCTGAGATGCACGCACACACACACAAACACATGCACACAGTGTGAGTGAAAAACAGAACGAGAGAAAGTCTTGTTGCAGTGGAGGCATCAAAGCATGTTTTAGTTGGACTGAGTGGGGAATCAGATTTGCCCCCCCTGCCTTTGATACACAAACACTGGGCTTTCCCTGACTTCTTCCCCTGAGCTACTTCCCTTCCTCATCTGCCAACTATGTGTGTTTGGAGCCGTGCATGTGCATGTGTGTATGTGTTTTTTAGTCCATGTCAAACATCAGGCCTCTTTTGTCACATTAAAAGGAAAATTCAACAGAAAAATGTCAAAATTGTCTACTGTGTAAAAGTGCCATGAGTTTGGCTGATACTCTAAATCCATCTGAACTTTTGCCAAATCCCTAAAAACCTTACAGTGCAAAAGAAAATAAGATTAAAAGGACTGTGGCTCTGTGTGAATGTGAGTATGTGAGTACATGCATGTGTGTGTGCGATCTAGCTTATTCAGGCCAGAAGACAAGGGTCAGGCAGACCTGTTCAGTGTTTAATCTGAAACTGTGTTTTTTTTATGTTCAAACTAACGTACCTCATCTCTCCGTCCTTCAGGTATTTCTTTGCTGTGCTGGCCATCCTGACTGTTTTGGGGATGCTGAATGGCTTGGTTCTCCTGCCAGTCCTCCTGTCCATGATGGGCCCTCCAGCTGAGGTCACCCCGGTTGACAACTCCAGCCGCCTGCCCACGCCGTCCCCTGAGCCCCCACTCCCTCCACCGATGACCCACCACGGCTACTACACAGGCCACCACAACCCGCGGTCATCTCGTCAGCAGGCTTTCTCAGAGTCGTCGGACTCTGAGTATTATTCGGAGATGACCACCACTTCAGGGATCGGGGAGGAGGATTATAAGTACTGCGATCGAAGCGCGTACATAGCATCGCACACCAGCGTTCCACCTGCAACATCTCACATACTGCTGGAAGCCAGCAAGAACCCCAGCTTCCCCAAACTCACGGTAAGCTGCACGACCACACAAACAAGATATGAACCCTTAATCCATGTTCAAATATTCTTCAAATGCATGTGTTTCTCTGAAAGTAAACAACACTTTTTTTGTTGTAGGTGGTGAAGCCATTCAGAGAAAATTCAACAGGCACTGGTGGAAGGATAGAACCTTTACATGAATCTTCCCACAATGCACAGTCACCTCTCGGGTCCCAGGTTACGTGCTGGGATGTGAACAAGCGGGAGCAGCAGCAGGGCCTCCAGAGGCTCCAGGCACTGCCCGGCCAACACTTACCCAGCGACAGAGCTCACTTCCCTGGGAGGACTTGTCAAAGCGGCCCCAGGCTACAGAACAGCAGAGGGCCTCAGCCTAACAGGACTAAAGGGCCGAGCTATAGCAATAGCAGCTCCACCCTGCCGATGCAACAAGGCTCCACTGGGGGGTCGGTTACCATGGTAACGGCCACAGCTTCCGTGACGGTAGCTGTGCATCCGACCTTACCAGGGGCGGCCTACCAAGGCTACATGCATGAAGGTTTTGACACGGACAGCGAGTCGGACTGTTTTGAAGCTGCTAAGAGGACTTGTGGTGACAAAACCAACTTTTCTTCATGTAAGAGAGACTCTCTAGAGCTCCAGGACTTGGAAGCAACACAGGGCCGGACAGAGCATCAGTTCGTCAAGACACAAGGTGAGCTGGCGACCAGTCAATCTTAGGCTTACCTGGCTTGTAATGTTCTACTGAGATTTGTTTTTTTAGCCTAAATTTCTCTTTTTGTAGCAATGTCTAACCCCTTTTCTCTCGTCTGTTTTTCTGCTGTAGGTGGGTTGAGGATCCAGGCAGCCAAAGATTGCTAGACTCTCTCACACACCCTGCCTTCTCTCTGTGAGTCTCTGGCTGCCTCCCAGAGCACCTTGACGCCCACGTGGCGTTACATGGCGTCTTGAACTCTCAACTGTACATAGACTTCACACAGAAAAAGAGAGGATTTATTTCAAGGACATATTAAGAAAAAAAATGACGTTTTAAGAATTATATAAATCTATGAGTATATATTTTAATACTAAAAAAGAAGGAAGCTATTTAAAAGAGTACTGTATAACTTGGGTATACTCTTGTGTAAAAGTTCAGATGTAAAAGATTATTTGTTTTTGTGGGGTGGTTGATTTTTTCCCCCCCGCAATGTATAGAATAAAAAATGTGCTATATGTAAAAAGTGTCCACAAAAAGTGAGATGTTATTAAGATATTAGGCTATTGAACATACATGTCAGTGTCAGTGTTTGTATTGTTGTTGTTATTGTTGTTGTTGGGTTTTTTTTCGCTGCTACACTTCAAATTAATTTTAAGTGATTTGCCTTAAAAAATGCAGTACCCCCCCTCTCCCCCCTCTGGTTTAAGTCAGTAACTTTGTACACAGTATTACGCTGTGAGATATTCTGCCTCTGACACACTGTTGTATTTTAAGTATAGACATTCTCTGTCACAGTGTGCACTGTAAAAAAAAAAAAAAAAAAAAGAGCAGAGAATTACACAGCAGATACTGTTTTCTTAACAGTAGTAACCGTTGTGCCTTCAATTTGTCCCTTCGTTGTCACAGCATTCAGAGCTCAGTATTATGTTTTACCTGTGTCTCATTCAGACACAAAATGTCAAGAAGCAGTAGCAGACTGTTAGTCAGTTATCACCATCATCTGTGAGTGTAACTGACCATTATTGAATGTGATGAGTCAGCCAACATGCTGGCATGAGTCACACGTAATTCACGTTTCATGTTTTATCTTTGTCATGGTGTCCCAATGTCCTCTGCAGTTTTGAACTACTTGAAGGAGCTGTGATAAGATTTTATTTTCTTTCTGCAGTTTTTGTAAGCTCTACAGCGGGTGAAGTTCACATTTCTCACAATTGTGTTCACCTTCTCGTATTATATTGAAAGGGAATTATGAAATCCAATGCAAAGGGAGTGATTATTTTATTTTATTGTTATTATTATTATTATTTTCTCTTTTTTTTTTCTGTGCTGGCTGCTTTAGGGTTGTAACACATTCAACCTGCTCTGACTTTCTAATTTCTCACTTATCTTGCTAATACAAACCTCATGTTTGCCACATTACATTTTCTTTCATTCTTAGGATTTTCATGTAATTTGCTTTACAAAGTTTTGTCATTGTTGTTCAGTATTTGTCTCATCACTGCCAGGTTAAATTGCAGGGAAAAACTTGCGGATCTATGTTTTAAATGCCTTTTTTTTTAAGTGGCAGCTTCGGTTTCTTTTGTAAATCCGAAAGAAAAGTTAAGTAGCTACTGTGCAGTTGTGAATAATTAAGCAAAATGAGCAAAGCACCATTTACAGTTTGATCAGACCATAGACAGCCGGCAGGTGTTGTCAGACATTGGTGAGGAGTTTAAAGGGAGGGGGGGTTGAGGGGGGATCTCCTGCATTGGTTTGTAGTTTATTTCAAAAAAAATGTTAATGTCATGCCATATAAATTATTTATATTAAAATTTTATTTTTGTAGTTTGTACAGATGTTAGTATCTAGACTGAAGTTCTATTTTTAAAGAGTGAATATATATTATATATAAATATATCTATTTGTTGCCGAGTTTGTTTTTGTTTTGTTTGCATTTTGGGATGGGGGGTGGTGGGTGGGGGCGGGGGTTGTGGGAGGGAGGGGTTGACAACACTTTAGAGCAGAGGCCTTTTTTTTGGTGGAGCAAGGGGGGGGGGGCAGTTGGGGGACCATGAAGGAGAAGGTGTGTAGGATTGTGTCACTGTTACACCTTGTTTTAAAGTTTCCTATTGGCCCTTCCTTCTTCATTGTCATTTTAAAAAAATGTTCTTGTCCATGTCTAAAACACTGTGACTTCTGAAAACTATGCTCAAGAAAACCCTCGTGTGACCGTTATGTTCCCTCACCTGCTATAGAAATTTAACTAACAAAATAAATTGAATGAAAAAAGTGTTTCTGTGGTCTTTGCCAGTCTTTTCAACCTTGTGTTTGCCTGCGACCCTGCTATGAGCTAAAGGGTCAGTCCTGTTATCACAAATGCAGATAAAAGCTAACTCATAATCTAACAATGTTTGCTGGTTAAATATACTGGTTAAATATGCCTGCTCCATTATCAGGATGCACTGTTGAGGTTTCAAACAAAAGCTTTCAGTATTTTAAACTCAGAAGTATCCATGTAATAACCCATGACAAGTTATCTCCAAATCTAATGGCTAGATTTCTTTAAACTTCTTGCTGTTGACATTTATTGTCACCAGAAAATGAACCATTTCCATTTTGGACACTTTAGGAACTTTCTTCTTCTTTCTTTTCATAGAATTAGACAAGGACATTCATGACCCCAATGACGTTCCCTCTACCTGTGTCATATTTTCAGCCCCACTACTGTTTTTATGTATCTAAAATACCAACTTTGTCATTTTTGTCTAGCGCTTTCATGTTGCAGCTTGTGATGAACACTGCAACATCAAATTACTACTAGCAGGGCTTTAATTTTTTCTGTTTTAACAACATAACAATAGTTATAGGACACAAAATCCGGATTATTGCAATACCCTAAGAAGCCATTCGTTGCCTTTTTTTGTCATAATGAGAATGTACTTTTACTGACTTAAGTTTTGCCTTTCATTATAATAATTTAAATAGAGTGTAATCAAATAGATAACTCATTGCAGGATAGAATCAGATTGGTTTTAATTCATTGTGCCTGAGTGTTTTCATCTTGTGCAAGCATACATTACAATCTGCTTCCCGTCAGTCACCTGACACCCACTGAAAGACCCACAAGCCTGGATTAGGAAATAATTCCTCATAATGTGTTACCTCGAACACTTTACTGTGAAATTCCAGCTTGTTTGATAAGATTTGTTATTACATTGATAGATGCTAACATTTGGCAACATGTGTTTTCTTACTACAGCGTTTAAAACGTCCCCACTTCAGGAACAATGAATTAACACAGAGAACCGCTGAACTGGAGCGTTGAACCACCTGGAAAGTGTCTGGGATCACTGGCTTCCTGGATCATTGTTGTGACTCGCCTGTCTAAATCTCTGCCTTTGTGAATGTACACACACACACGAACACACACACACACACACACACACACGCACACACACACACACACACACACACACACACACACAGCATGCACACATTCACATAGATATCTATGCTTATGTGCACTACACATTCTTAAAAACTCAAACACAAAACAAACTACTCACACACATATACACTACCTTGCCTCCTCATACACAAATATACACACATACACACGTACACACACACACACACACACACACACACACACACACACACACACGTACACACAGGCCCACCTGTGTAGATGAAAGGTAGATGCTGTAAATTCCTTCGCTTCTCACACAACAGCTCCTCGTTTGTCAGCCCAAGCAAAGCAGCCCACGTCTGAATCTGATACCTCCGTCTTTTGATGTTACTGTCATGCACGTCCACCTCTAAACCAAACCTCATACACACTCACACACACATAAAAAGCAGACAGTACACAATGTTCATACCTGGCAATGTGGTACAACGCAGCCTTAACTTTAGTTCCATTTAAATACTGTTGGAGTCTCATATTCATCCCAAAGCAGTAAACAATATGACCAGATTGATTTAGTTTGAAAGTTGTGCATTAATGAGGACAGCTTTGCCCTGTAACTGATGTCATCCTGGGTGCACATGTTGTATTTAATGTTACAGCTCAGTGACAAGAAAATGAAAACATGCTGTCCAGTTACTGGTCATAGCAGGGCTGGAGTCAACCCCAGCATGCATTTGGTGGAAATCAGGTAAACAACTGTTCAGATTAATATTCACAGCTATGAACAAAGTCAGATTTTAAATGTACCTGAGGAGCCAAGTGAGAAACGCTGAAGAACACAAGGGGGCAAAAATGCAACACTCACTCAAAAATGCAGCATTACTTAGGTGTGTCTCGCTAATTACTAAACCACTGTACCACATTTTTATAGTCAAAATACTTATTCTATTTTATGTGGTTGTAATACTAAAACATTTTAATTTTAGAGTACACTGAGGCAAGACATTAAATTCTAACAGCACCCATTCATTTTCTTCTAAATGTCTCAGGGATAAATTAATGAAATAATCAAAAACAAATGTGATTGTCGTGCAGGCTGGTTTCAATAGATTTAATACACACACACACACACACACACACACACACACACACACACACACACACACACACACACACACACATACACACACAGGCATCAGGCAGTCAGCGGAGGAATATCAGATAAGAAGAGAGAGAATACTTTAGAGTTTTATGGGACTTCTCTTTATGTTTGCGTTAGGAAGTGGATATCTAGGTTTTTTGATGAGACAACAGGATGGTGTAATGAGTACGGAAAGGCAATACTTAAACCAAAGAACCTGCCATCAAGCATCCACCTCCCCTGGAGAAAGTCGTTAAACCTTACCAGCTCCAGGGGTTGTTGTTCTATATGTCTGATTCTGATCTCTGACCTTCAAGAGCATTATTAACTTCTTGTCCTCCTGTTTCAATATTGTCTTACAGAATAAGTTGTAATGAACAACCTCGAAAAACACGTGTGTGTGTGTGTGTGTGTGTGTGTGTGTGTGTGTGTGTGTGTGTGTGTGTGTGTGTGTGTGTTTATGAATGATGTGTCATGTTGGGAATCTCCCAAGATGTGTCTAATACACCATTTGCATTCTCACGATTAATCGATGAGTATGTGTGAAACGGTTTTGATCACATTCATTTAATTTCTTGTTGTGGCTGAGCAGAACAAAAACAATCTTATGTCAGAAATAAATTATCCTTTTCTGTATTTATTATGTATCTTGGCAAGTCTTTCATCTCTATCTTCTGCCATTGGCTCAATGATCGCTAAAAAACTTGAGCCAAGAAACAGAATTAGTGATGCGGTTTGATGGTTGCCTTTATGTTTTTGGTGACTATCTTTTGACAGAGAGTTTCTTATTCAGTAAAACATATCATACTTTGCTGTTGATTCACTTTGCTCCCGCTCCTTGAACCTTTCCATGAGAGATTATCAGACATATTTTTCAAAAGTGAAAAAAAAATGTAATAAGTGTGCATATCTGTGAAGGAATGTAGAGATAAGAGCAATAATGGAACATCACAGTCAATACATTACAGAATCATAGACAGCATGTACATTCAACTTTACAGTAAATCTCCTACATGTGTAGTTCTACACAGCAATGCTAGAGCAGTGGATGTGACTGTGGTTAATGGAGCTCTCTCCCCTCCCTTCAGTGTGCGAGTGCAGTGTGTGGGCCCAGATAGCAGCTGATAGTCCAGATAACACGATCTCCCAGTGCCAACTCCTGACCTGTGTGTGAAGGTGAGATCAATGGAGGAAAAGAAAACACAATGAAGGAACAAAAGACTGAACTCGTGATCTGGTGATGCTGGTGTCGGCGTGTATGCATGTGTGTGTGTGTGTGTGCACTGCTTGGGTGGCCT